CCCATTTTTTGACATTTTTAATTGGGTTTGAGCAGTCGCCACCAAGGGGTTAAAAGGATAGGATATGTTGGTTGGACAGTTTTTGCCACTTTACGCTTGTCTGTCGAGCCCCTGTTCCCCATGATTGAATGCCCGCCAAATCTGAGGGTTCGATTTCAAAACGTTACCTAGCCCTGTATTAAAGGTAAACTTTGGAAATTGCCAGCAATTCAAAACAAGTCATTAGGCATTTTAACATGTCATAAATGACAAATAGAATGTTGTTATATGATTGATGGATTTTCATTTAGTACTTACCTAAAAGATATTATTCCAAACTTAACTAATTTTGTTTTTTCTTATTTTTACTTACAGGTAACTATGCTTTCTAAGTTCGCCCAAGCGTTTACCAACTGGGGTCAAAGCTATCAAGTCATTGTAAGTTCAGAATAGAACCCAAACTCTCTATAGCTAATTATGTTACTCCAACAATTCATTTGCGGACCAGTATTCATTGCTTTGTAAGCTACAAAAAAAGTGTATCCCAAAAAAACCACAATTTGTAATTGCGACAAGGCAAGCGTATCTTAAAGATATACATTTTTGTACTTGCACTGCATTAACACAACATATTTTTTTTTGCTGCTCAACGAAGCGTTTTAAGCTAACTGTCAACCCTATTTGTGTTAACTACTTTTTTTGGCCCCTCTTTTTTATTTTGGTTGGTGGTAACTCATTTGTTATTCATAAAGCTGCATTTCAAGTTGGTTGCATTTCCTTGCATAGCTAATTACCTTCACGACACTTGACTTTACTCATTGGAAACTAGGTGAAATTTTTGGTGAAATAATGATGGTGGGTGAAAAGAAAATGGAAGATTAAAAATCAAATCTAAGTTTTATTTATTCTCAAATATTTCAGTTAAATGTTCAACTCATAGATCAATTTAAAAAATGAAAAGTGCAACAAATTATTGCAATTTAAATCGAGAATTACAGCTTTGAAATGCTTACTCTTCCGAAAAGATTACTGAGATATATTCCAGAAATCAAACGAGTTTCCTCCGCCAAATCCCACTGCAATTATATGCGGTAATAACCGCTCGAAAGCAGTGAAAAAAGCTAAATCCCAAGAAAGTTACTCAATCGCGCTGTTTGCCAGATGCACCTGATTTCCACCCGCTGGGCTGCTTATCTCAGCGGGCTTGAAAGATATGTCATAACTCAGATAACCCACCGACCTGCCACGCCCCTATTTTCCACGAATCTCACACTTTTCCTTGTGGTTTTTATGCAATATGCACAAGAGTTCACTTTGATGTATACCGCCTCCCTGTGGCGAAGTATTTCACAATTTTCTCCCCCCCAAAAACTGGCGCTGTGAATTATGCGACATTTATTCTTGGATCTCTCGACTGCTGCACATCTGCCGCCGTTTTGCTATTATGCGGACATGTGCAGTATTATGTGTGTGTGTCGGCAAAGAAGGGAATTCCCTTCCAAGATCTTTCTCTCTGTGTTTGGAAGCTGTCATCGCCAGGCATTTGGAAATAAAAAAGGAAAAGTAAAAAAAAGGGGGAGTGGCAAAAGTACTGACACCGAGGTTTCTTAACTCTGCACCCGAGCTGTCATCGGCAACTTTTGCAATACGATGCGGTAATGTTATCAAATCTCCTTGCTTGGCTGGATTCTAATAACAGGGGCTTGTATACCTTCAATCAAGTCGAAAAAAGTCAACAATTAGGAAGAATAAAGATAAAAGCACTAAGTATCTAACAGGTATTGTCTCATACTATGGGTATACTAACTTTGGACCAAAACTAGTACTATTTTTCGAAATTATTTTCATACTAAATCTAGTAGATACTTTGTGCTTTTGGTTCCTCCCAACCCACATAGTTTTTTTCGATTTCCTGCAGTAATGTTATCAAGTCTCCTTGCTTGGCTGGATTCTAATAACAGGGGCTTGTATACCTTCAATCAAGTCGGAAAAGTCAACAATTAGGAAGAATAAAGAAAAAAGCACTAAGTATCTACCAGATATAGTCTCATACTTTGAGTATAATATACTTTGGACCAATACTAGTACTATTTTCCCATAATATTTTCATACTAAATCTAGCAGATACTTTATGCCTTTGGTTCCTTTCCAGAATATTTCCAATCCACATTGTTTTTTCGTTTTCCTTCAAGTATTAAAACCAAAATAGTAGTAGTAGTTATGATTTTTTCCAATCACATTTTCTTCATTGATGATGAGAGGGACTTGAAAAGGCATGAAATGCAGTACTTTGTAGATTGTCTAAATCGCTTGCTGACTCTTATGTGGATATTGGTACTTGCATGTCTTCTATTTATGTTATTGAACCAAATTGGCATCTTCAGGATTCCAAGGCGAAGGCACAGAATCAAACTAAGCGAAGTCTAATCAAGTCATGTATGGTCTTTTGAATAAAGTTCTGATGATTGCATAATTCCTAAAAAATAAAAAGACAGAGATTTCATAATAATATGTATGCGTCATTTGTCGGAATTAATTGCCATTCAAAGCGAACAAGAATGTTGAAAATAAATACGTAGTTGTAGATACATATATATACAAATGTATCTTTGTATCCACAGCTGACCACTTGAGATATGCTGGCCAACTGCACTCAACGAATAAAAAATGTGAATCACGGAATTGAATTGACGTTTTGTCTAAATAGTGCACAAGGTCAATTAGTTGAAATGCCATCAAAAAAATATAACAATTAAACGTTCGAGCTTTGATGATGGCAGTTCAATGCTGTTACTTAGATCTCTTTCATCAGAAATCCTCTACTAATCTTTTTAATCCAGAGATGTTTTATCTTTATCTTGTATATGATGCATTTCTGATATCTTTAGTTGCGCAATTCCCTCTTTTTTTGTTGTTTAAAGTGCGTTGCTATTTTTGACTGAACAAGAACCTCCCCTCAGGTTATAAGTTCTAGATCCAGGTACCCTATATACCACTGCTTCTTCCTGTCTAACACAAAGACAACTCTAAAGGAGCACAAAAAAAAAGCTGCTTTTATTTCATTTGTGTGTGCGTTGTTCCTGGAACGCATATCCTAATGTATCTGTATCTGTGTTTGTGAAAAGGATTTACGCCTTGTTTTTTTTTTATTCTTGTACATTTCGCACATATCTCGGGCTTTTGTTATTGTTTGTTTTGGAGGCAGATAGGTTACCAGATACCTGAGCTATGTTTTCGCCTTGAGACTTCCATTCAGGTGCGTTTTGTGTATATAGTAGATATATGTACATATATATATAATGCGTATCTCAATGGACAAGAATGAGATGGGTATATACTATTTTTGATCTATTTTTTGGGACTTGGATTTTTGCTTTTATTCTCCTTTCACGTTGGTTGAGTTGAGCATTTCGTGTAATTGAAAAAGCATTTCAAATGCAGCTGCGTAAATTTCATTGCGTATTCCCTTTCGACAACAGCAACAACAATGGAAGCATTAGGATTTATAGAGAAGTTTCCAAAGTACAGTTGAGCTCAAAGCTCAGAAGCTATCCAAGTGCAGAAATAAAGAAGTTTTTCATGAGGATTTGTAAAAGGCATGTTGTTGGGGTTGTTGGTTTGGAGGAAGGGAATCAGAAAGATGATTCCGAATGACAAAGGTGGTAAAAGTTGTTGATTTATTTAGGCATGGGAAGTACATATTTTAGGTAGATAATAAACCATATCAAACTTTTTAGAAAGTTATTATTATTATAATAATTAAAAATTCAATGGAATAAGGTTTTCCTATATGGTTAGCCTTAGTATTGTCATATAAAACAAATTGATCAACTCCTGCAACTTTTAATCAATGCTTTGGGCATTGTTCTTATTACAATTATTAAAAATAAATTCATTTATTTTGTTTCTATTTGTGAAACCTGAAAATGAAATTTATTACCATTTCTCTATGGTTAACCCTAGTATTATCTTATAAATTAAATTGAGCAACATTTAATCAATGTTTTGTGCATTGCTCCACATACCGTGAATCATCTCGATCAATTTCTCCCAATCTTTAAATCATTCTTATCCCCAAGGGCATCCTTTTCCCTGCCTCTCCAAATGAATTCCAGTTGCCGTACTCAAAAACTGCAAACTTCCCAGGAATTTCTTAATAGCTTTTTACCGATATCTTTTTTATTCCTCCCTTTATATTTTTTTTTTTTTTGTGGTTCTCTGGTTCGAAACGAAACCGTTGATTTTGATGGTCAAGAAAAAAGGCTAAATAAAAGAAGCGAGGAACTGCTGGCTTTTGGTTTTTGGCAGCTTCCACAAAAGTTGCGGGGCCGCATTTTTCTAACGATTAAACAAATTCGAAGAAATCAAACGCATCCCATGCAACGAAAGGCAGCCTCACCTGCAGTTTCCAGGAATCGAGAAAGGATAATATGGTGATGGTGGGGGGAGGTTCAGAAACCGTAGAAACCGTAGACGAGTCCAAAAAAAAAAAGTCCAAGTGTGGAGTCAGAAATCAGAAAGTTGTGTGTTCTCGCGCGTTGCATCAAAAACCTTTGGAAGCGGCGGCATTTTTTCAGATGGCCAGCCCAGAGTTCCCAGAATTGAATCGTATATCTTGTGATTTTTTTCTTTCTCCTTTTTTTTTCTCCCGGGCTGTTTTCGCTTCTTTCTAAATGCTCGATTAATTTCTAATAAATTGGTCGGAAATGATGCTGCAGGCCACAAAGATAGAGTTACCAACACAAATGCGTTGCAGTTTGAGCTTTTGGCCAAGAGAGAGCCCTTTGAAATTTGAGTTTGTTCAGAGCAAAACATATTTCTCGGAACTACTTGGATGGGGGGATATACTTATAAAATATATTTGACTTTTGCAACCTGCATCCCCCTTCGTGTAGATGACTTTGTTTAATTTTTTTTTTTTTAATTTTTTTCGAAGACTGAATAGCAGGCATTGGATTTGCCCTCAGGTTCCCTGTCAAACGCATCGAAACCAATATAATTTTTTATCATTCTCATTGCAGCATTTGGCGTGTTCGGATTCGAATTCAGTTTTGAGATTCGGTGCTCTCACAGTTTCTGGTTAAATTTCTATGCCAACGCCAATAAATCAGTTATCAGCAACGATAGAAGTGGAAGTGATTAGAAAACCGGAACCATTCGCAACAAAATCGGCGAACGACACGAGAACGACACACAAGAAATTAACTAAACAATTGCAAAATTCCCTTTGGCTAAGGATTTGCAGCGGCCGAATTGCTTTTATGCTCTGCTGGCAGCTACAAAATTCCACGAAATTCCATTTTGGCAACACGAAAACAAACAAATCAATTCGCAGCACAACTGAAAACGAACATCAGCAGCAGCATCAGAAACATCAACATCAACATCGATACGCAAAAATCATTGGCAAAAATCGTAAACAACGTCGTCGTCGTTGTCGCCGTTCTGGCGCCGTACAAACAATTGGGTTCCTGAAAGTTAAGAACACCGATATAGCTAACGATACGGCCACGGATCGGGACAAACGTGGTATAGATATAGGCGCAGCGACGGAGGACGCAAAACTGCTGGCAAAATGGATCCACAGCAGCAGTTCTGCCTCAAGTGGAACAGTTATTCGTCTAACTTGGCAATAACATTCTCCAATCTGTTCAAATCGGATCTGCTGGCCGATGTCACATTATCCTGCGATGGTAAGTTTTTACATCAATTACTATAATATCAGGTATGGTTATTAGACGAACCTTTGAATTTGAATTAAAACAGTCAAAGCAAAGGATATGATTAACCATATAGAAAAGCTAAGCATGAGTATTCATTTCAATGCTAGAACTTAAAATTGCATTGTTTTTCCAAAAACTGACAGATAATACCATGCTACAAAGTAAAATTTGGAAATTTATTAATAGGGAAATTATATTTGCTTGTTACTTAAGATCTTAGGATATTTTGTTTTAATACGAGTATAAGTGAGGAAACATATAAGCTAAGATCTTAGGATATTCCATAAAAATATAGATCCCTACTTATAATTATATTTATACAATATATTTTTGTTTATTTATGATATACCAAAGTTAGTGATGTACGTGAAAACCCCCAATAATGGATGAGTTATTCTTATTTACCTAGGATTCGCCTTCTTTTATTTTCCAGCTGCTCATGTTTATTTCTTTTTTCGCTAATAAGCCGGTGCGCCGGAATATCAGACATTGATTTCTTTTTGCCTTAGCCGGTTTTGTTTGATGGGAGACGCGAAGTGGAAGTGGCTTTTATGGCTTGTCTCGTCCTTGTCTGTCAGCCACATCCCATCCTATACACTCGTCATATACCATCCCATCCATCCCCCAGTTGTTTTTCTAGCCTGTGTCTGTCTGGTAGTTCATTTACGGCCTTTTACTACAGTTTTTATGCTGGCTTATTAAATGGCGAATAAATGCGGGCAAACCTATATAGCAGGCTTCATATATATATACTTTTATTTGTATGTTTGGTATATATTTATTCGGGCTTTTGACTGAGGTCAGTTATTTGGGAGCTCCTTTTTGGTGTATATATATAAGTATATGTGTGTTTTTGGGACCCTTGTTAACCTTATTTTCTTTCTCTTTTGATTTGGGTTTAAATATTTTCCGTCGCCCGGTTACTTGGGTGTTTATGTGTCGGCGGAGCATCTTGGCTTATTTTTATGATTATTATGTAGAGCGTATGTATACCATTTTATGCTCTCCTTTATTTTATTTATTTTCTTTGTAGCTTAACCTTGGGCTAATATCACTCTGTTAGCAGCTTGTTTCCTGCTTTAAATTTTACAAGATTTCGGCACTTTTTTTTGGGCAAATTCCTATCGCACATTGGTCATACGCCATGTGTGCGTAAGTATGGATATCTTTTTTGTTTTGCATTGATTGAATGAGTGGGAATAGCAGGGGCTGACTGGGATTATTAAGGGGGTTCCGAATGGGGGGAGCATACGCAGACAGTTTCTCCCCCAAAAAAAAAGAGACCTAGACAAATCCTAAAACCCTTTTGGCTTCCGGTTCCTCAGTTCCCGTTGTCATTCATATCAATCGAAGTGGTACTACTTTTGATTAAAATTTTCAACGTTACACCCCAGCACACACACAATATACCCTCCCCCCCCCTTTTTTAACCCTTTGCTTTGACTGTTTTTAATTGTGGTTTTTAATATTTCTTTGGGGGGATAGGAGGGTTTAGCCATGAAGTCCATCCAAATTCTGCATTTGTTATGTTTGATTTGGCTCGGCTCGGCTCTTTTGTCCATTTGGCAATGAAGCATTAAATATTTGGCTGTCTGCGAAAACAAAAGCAAATAACGTATGTTTTTTATTGTTTTTAATATTCATGTGGATATTTTGCTTGCTTGTTTTTTATAACATTTTTTTTGGGTGATTGAAAAGGATGCATTTGTGGAGTTTTTTGGTTTAGGTTTTGGGGCATATTTAGCACTTGAGAAATGAGCATTTTTACCCAAATGAACATTTACTTTGCCTGGGGCTAGGTTTTTTAATGGGGAAGCATTTAGAGTTTGAGGGATTCAATATTGTAAGGGGTTGATTTGTTAAAAACAATCACATGTTCACATTCAGGAAGTATGCATTTTATTCAGATTAATTTAAAGCTACAGAAACAAGGCCAATATTTCCACTATTTGCCGAATTTTCCTAGTAAACAACACGTGCTGTGGTCTTTTTATGATTCAATTGATTAGATTATAGTCACTAATTGTTGACCATAAAAACCGAAAGTACGAGTACTTGAGCCGATGTTATTGCCAAACTGCATAATAGCGAAAAACCTAAAAAGTACCCAAAATCAAAACAAAATGCGGGGTAAATGAAAAAAACGAACGCAAACGCAGAACGTAAACAAGCAAATCACCCGAAAAATATCTATAGTATATATATTGTATACACATAATGTCATTTCTTTATCAAGGCCAGCCCATACAGGCATATCGAAGTGAATTCATATGGCAATATGTGTTTTTCTTTTTGTTTTTGCCTTTCCATTGTGGCGATTGTGACCCAATTTCTGTTGTATCAAGTGTTAGAAAATCCAGCCAGCGAAAAAAGCACAAAAAATAGACGTCTGATATATAATCGCAAGAACGAATAAAAGTTTTTTTCAGCCGAGAGAAACAAACAGAAAAAATAAAATATGGAGAGTGTGCTTTGTGTGGCATATGTTAAATGCAATTTGCGTAGTCTGGTGTATTAATCAAGCGATTATATAATACATTTTGGGCGAGAGCTAATCAGTGACGACGCAAATCGCGCATACGCCGCGTTGCCTGAATCACTTCCGAGTGTGCTTATAATTATTATAAAATTGTTTCTTTTTTTTTGGGGCTCGTGCAATGCGTTTGATTTTGACCTTGATGTCGTTTTGTTATTTCCAGTTGTCTTGCCCCACGAATTGAATTTGTATGTTATCAGCTCTTATCGGCTGGTGAGCGCTGAGGCAAGAATTGACACAATTGTGTCGAATTTCATATAGAAATAGACTGCAGTGTGCGATAAGCCAGACGAAAAAAAAATGAATTTTGAGTGAGGAAATGACTTAATGCATTTGCGCTTCAGCTGCTACAGAAAATGTCACAAAGTGTCAAACTTGAAATATATTTATGAACAATGTCGACGATAAATATTAGCCTTCCTCTCTCTTTTTTTGGCTCTATTATTTTTCCGTATTTATCTCAAAACACCGCTGTGCGAGTGTCGTTTCAATTTGGCTTAAGTAATGCTCGCAGCTAACACAACAAGTGCCCCATAAAAGAAAAGACATAACTTTCAGACTTCCACCACCCCACACCCAAAAAAAAAGGAAAACCCAAAAGAGAGACAAGAAAAGCGTGAAAAATTGTAGCCAAACGATTATATACATACACACCACCATCAGAGAGCACATCAAAATACACTTAGTTTTTCGGAGTGGCTGGCATTTTCGCCGCCCCCTTCTCGTATATTTTCCAACATTACGTATACGCTGGGTGGGTTTTTGTGTGTCAGGTAGTACTACTACAAGCCAGGATACAAAAGATTGCCAAGACCCCAGGACCAAGACGACATTGATGTTGAATAATAACTCAGACAGAGCTAACATACATATACCTAGGAAAATACGAAAATGAGAGCGAGTTGCAGATGAAAAGCAGCTCCTCCCTTTTGTGTCTGTGTAGTCAAGAGCAAGAAAATCATTTCCTTGCTGCGGCTTTTATTGTCCTCCGTGTACGTGTTTATGTGCGGTATATATTTGACATGATTTTTTATGAGTTCAAGGTCTCGGTTAGCGTTTCGGCGCCACCTGTTGGCAACCTTTTATGGGTCGTCGTGGTGTGTCCCAAAGCAAGATGCTTTAATCGGAAAACCCTTAACAAGTTTGGAAAAGGGAAGTGGCCTTAGAATATACCATACCGTACTTGCTTACAATAAGCGGAAGGAATTTAAGAATACATTTTTAGATTTATCTTTTTATTATCTCTTATTAAATCTTTATTTTCTTATATATTCTAAACTTTCAGGCGCAGTATTCAAAGCACACAAACTTATATTGGCGGCCTGTTCGAAGAAGTTCGCCGATCTGTTCGAGAACACGCCCACAAATGGCCAATGCGTCATCATACTGGAGGCGACCACGCCGGATAACATGGCCGCTCTCCTGGAGTTCATGTACAAGGGCGAGGTCCACGTCTCCCAGGAGGCACTCAACAGTTTCCTCAAGTCCGCCGAAAGCTTGCAGGTTAGTAATGCATTTAAACAAGTCTAAAAAATCCGGCCTCAACTCGCCGTATTCGGGTGTGTTCTCTTATATTCGCTTATAATGGGCTATAGCTTGTATCTTACAAAATTTTCAAACCTTTTCTGTCTTCTTTTCTACACAGGTCAAAGGTCTGTCCACGGAAACGGGACGTCTGGCGGCACAACAGGCACAACAACACATGGGCGACCTTTCGCCGCTGGACTCGCCGACGGGCAGGCGGAGCATAAGAAACAGTCTGAGCGGCGGCAACAGCAGCATCGTTCCCGGAGGAGTGGGAATCGGTCTGGGTGGAGGCGTGTCGGGAGCGAACTCCATGACGGGCATGGGCATCGGCAACGGATTGAGCTTGGCCGGCATGGCCGCTGCCGGAGGAATGGCGGCGGCTGCCAATGCGGCGGCCAGCAGTCTGAGTACCCTGGCGGCCAGTGCGAATATCGTGGATAGATGCGGCAGTGCCGGTGGCAATATCATCGGCGGAACGGCGGCCGGCATTGGTGGCTCTCACAGCGGTGGAGGTGGAGCGGGAAATAACGGAGGAGGAGGAGGAGGTGGTGGACTGGGAGGCAATGGTGTGGGCAGTGGTGGTGGCGGCGGCGGAAATAACGGACCCATTAGCATGGGAAGCGGCGCTGGCGCTGCTCACCATCTGGGCGGATCCACCGGCATCCTGAAGCAGGAGTGCGACTCAATGATGCATCCGGGCGGCAGCAGTTCCTCATCCGGAATGGGCTACACCCATGTGCCGCCCATCTACCGACCCATCAACTACGAACCTCCGCGCAAGAGGGCCATTGTCCGTAGCCCATACTCCGAGCAGGAGCAGCGCGGTTCCGTGCTGCGAGATGGCTCCAAGTCCTCCGAGTGTCCCAGCCCCATCAACAAGCCACCGTACCACCGACCCTCGTCCAGCGCCTCCTCCACGGCGCCCACCGAGGCAGACACCATGCACTCCGAACGAGCATCGCCACAGTCCAGGTGAGTTAAATAGCACTATAAATAAGACCCTTTAAAATCATAATGTATGTGCATCAACTAACTCTACTATCTTTTCCCAGTCGCTACGAGAACCACAGTCCCAGCACCACAGCGGGAAATGGTAATGCCAACAGTGGCCTGGATCGCATAGTAAAATCGGAGCGCAATAATGGCAGTGCAAATGAGGCTAATGATGACGACCGCGAGCTTATGGATGAGTCCACAGATGTGAGTTGTCTTAAGGGTTACCTAGGATTTATGCGGAAAACACAAGTGCCTCTTACTAATTTTTATTTTATATTCCGAACCTTATTTTAAACTCACATGATTTGGTACGTTTTGGGTATGTGTTTGCTTAGTAAGTAAAACAAAATATAAAACAAAAATATTGAAAACAGCTTGACCAAAGGCTATATGAGCAGAAAAGCATAACTCCAAAACTATTGGTCTGATCGAATTAAGGTTTTGAGAGTGTAATCTAAACAAAACTTTGAAACGAAACTTCCTCGAATATCCACTAATTATTCCAATTGGTTTATAAACAGAACGGAGCCGAGGACCTGCGCGTGAAGCTGGAGAACTTGAAGTACTCACCGCCACCGCCGCCGAACTCGAACACCTCGTCGACCACACCGAACGCCCTGCTGGAGAACCTCAAGGCGGACGGAACGCTGTCCAGCAATTTGGCTGCCTCCATAGCGCCGGCGGACATGTTGAACGTATGGAACGCGACCAAGATGAACAACAAGAACAGCGTGAACACGGCCGATGGCAAGAAGTTGAAGTGTCTGTACTGCGATCGATTGTACGGCTATGAGACGAACCTGCGTGCTCACATCCGGCAGCGTCATCAGGGCATTCGAGTGCCGTGTCCCTTCTGCGAGAGGACCTTTACGCGGAACAACACGGTGCGACGTCACATTGCCCGGGAGCATAAGCAGGAAATTGGATTGGCGGCGGGGGCAACTATTGCTCCTGCCCACCTGGCAGCAGCTGCCTCTGCAGCAGCGGCGGCAACAGCAGCGGCCAGCAATCATTCACCATAGGAAGCAGCCGCAACAGCAGCGGCATCAGTAGTCATGAACGCCCACAAGGAGGCGGCAAAGCAGCGCAAACGTAAATCACTCAAGATGGCACTCGAGAAGTGCATGCAGCGACGGGATGCAATGGTGGCGGAGACGACCAGTAGCACCACCACGACGACGGGGGCAGGAGGAGGAGTAGGAGATGGGGCAGAGGCAGGGGAAACGGGAGATGGGGCAGGATCGGATGAAGGAGCCGCCGGTTCAGAGGGCACTGAACCGCCGCTCACCTACGAGCAGCAGCAGCAGCGAATGCATCACGAGCTGACGCAGCAAATCCGAGCTGCCATGGCGGCGGAACAGGCGGCCGAGGCCATGGATTCGACCATGAACACCACGGTTAATACCACCACAACGACGGCCACCACCACGACGAACACCACTGGGACCACCAGTGATGGTTGCAGTGATGCGGAGGCCAGTGATGGTAGCGATCGACCCATGGAAGTGGACGAAGATCAGCCGCCGGAACCGCAACCGGGATCCGAACTTGTGGTGGTGGAGCCCAAGATCGAGGTGCTGTCGGAGTCCGAGGACGACGAGGAGGATCGTCTGCACATGTCCGAAGCGGAACCGGATATCCAGGCCGAAGCCATTTACGATCACATGCCCAATACTCCCACCAGCCCACCACACATCATACCGCCCAACGAGACGCCCACTCTGACCTCAACGCCCAAGGTCAATGTGGAGCAATAGGATGAGGAGAAACGAGATGCCCCCCTCAGAGGATGCCCCCCAAAGAAGCTGCTTAGATTTAGGCTAAGAATCGATGAAGATGATAGAGTGAAAGATGAGTGATTTACAAAAAACGATTTACGCGCGCAAAGAAGATGATATATGACTACTGGTGCAACTGCTGTTGCCCTCGGAGACCACCTACCAAGATATAACAAAAAAAGAAAACAAGTCCCTAAAACGGGCAAATTGATTACTATAATAACTGAAAGCAAAGAATTACTAATATGATAAGATTTACCACACAAAAACACCAAACACACACATAAAACAAACAATCAGACAGGACAGACGAACACACACGAACAGAAGGCAGAATTTGAAGACCAACTTTTTGCAGATTTTTCATTACAAATTTGTGTTTAAAGCCACACCACCAACAATAACAATGATAATACAAAGTTAATGCAGCAAAAAACACAAGACAAATGCAACAAAATCCAAAAACCAATATATATGGCAGCAAACAGAACATTGAAATAAATGCAATCCGGCTGAAAAATCGTTTTCAGGGTGCTAATCAAACAAAAAAACACTCGCAACAATGCAACAATGAAAAACAAATTAAAAACTAAAACTAAATGAAATAGTAAAATGCAAAAAGTTTGAACGTTTTTGATTGGTACCGCCAAAAAGTGTAGCAAGCATATTACAAAAAACAAAACGTTGAGAATTTGTTTATTCGTGTGTGTTGAAGGGAGGAGATCGATTAGATCGATTAGATTATTGTCGCATATATTTTTGATTTCCTATAGAAACGTCACAAAAACTGCAAGTTGCCTCAAATCAAACGAAACGATAATGCTAAAACAAAAAACAAAAAACTGAATTTAATGAAACGTGAAAAACTATTAATTAAACACTGCAAAACAAATAGCTGCAACAAACAAACTACAAAGCAACAATAGCAACAACAAAACCGCAACCACAAGTACCTGCAATAATAAAATAGTATAAACAAAAGAAACAAAATACAGAATAGAAGAGAAACGCTGAGTAAAAACCTAGGGAGGAGCCAGGATTCGAGGGTCCTTGAGCATCCCACTCGGTTAAGATGGGTCCTCACTTCCCCAAACGACTGCCCATTTGTCCAAGTTTTTTGTAAATAATTTTATTAAATTAATAATACGAAAAGGCAATTTGGGCTAGGAGTAGGGCCAAGTGATGTGACCCCTTTTCCACGGGGTACGACCAAGGATTCCAGGGGATCTGTGCTCGAGAACAGAAAAAGATTTGCTTTAAAAACGAGTAACATTTTTGTTTTGTGATTTTTCATATTGTTTTATGATTTATTCATTCAAGTTTAGGCCTCAAAATTTCATACAACTGCTTTTCGGCTACAAAAAATACAAAATTCAAATTCAATTCCAAATTCAGAAGTTTCTAAAGAAGTAAAAAAAAAAAACAATTGGTAAATTGGGTGCCTATAAGAAATATATAATTAAATGACTACTAGTAAAATTTTATAAACAAAGAAAAAATATATTTAACGATGAGAGAGAAAAGCAAATAGCAAAGAAAACGTAAAGTAAATATAATTATTTTTTAATTGAATAATTCTAGCCAAGTGTGAAACATGTTAATTAACAAACGAAAATATTAAGCAAAAACCACTCAAAAACGTTCTCAAAAACTTGATGGCAACAACAAAAACAACAAACAAACAGCAATAATTACAGCAAGAAAACGAAATTCAAAATCAAACTTTTGGCACACCTTTGGAAAACATTTTTCGTACAACAGAAAATTCCCCAAAAAATCCAACCAACAAAAATTCAAAATTCCTTTTTTCGGCTCTTATAATTTCGATGGCTACAAGGGAAAAATTCCCACGATAAAAACAGAATCCACAAAAAAGAATAAGCTGTAAAATACTAAACAAAAAAGAAACAATTTTGTTGTAAGCGAAAGAGAAGAAAACTAGAATGGAAATCTAAGAGAAATGCAATTGAAAATATTGAGAAAGTCCGCCAGCATGTGAAGGGAGGACCAAGGCAATCAAAAGTCTTGAATTGTAAATACATTTATTATTACCGCATATATATCCATAGCATATATATGTGTGGCCTCAGTTGTATAATGATAAAACCTAGATCTAATATATATATATATATATGTATACCTGTGTAAACATAAACTACTAAGCGCATATGTAGGAACACATTAGGCTCGCCAACAGAGAGAAAGAAGGGTTTTATTTTAAACTTATTGAAACTGTCTTAATTTCTACGTTTTCCGTGTTAGCAAGGCAATAGAAAGGAAGAGATCCAATGATAGCTACACAAAGGGTGATCCAGAATCCATAGAACCGTAAAATAGCCAAAAAGTTGAATATTAAACTAATTTTATTAACTGTTGAACCACAAGATACACCCCACACACGAAACACAAAGCCGAGTTAAAATAGATTTTCTACCCAATAGAAGATGCAGACTACCAATGTCACCCCCGACCCCCCCAGTTTGTTCTGTGATATCGTTTTGAAGTTGCAAACGAATAGAGCGTTTTTTCTTCGTTTAGTTCTTTTTCGTTTTATGAATAATTTGTCCTAATCAAGAAACGACAACTCGAATTTTATTTAGCATTCGTGTTGAGCAGGAGAACAGAAATAATTGAAAAGGAAGCAGCAGCAACCTCAAAAAGCAATAGCAATATTTAAAAACCAGTCTGGCAATATTCAAACCAAACTACCTCTTCACACCCATGCAGATTAACCCCTGGTTGCCGGTCCGTTTTTTGCACACCCCCATCAACGTTCGCTGGAGTCTGAATTACATTTTATTTTTAAGTACGTTGATGGGGCACAAATTCACGGTTTCGGCCCGGGGTCAAGCCATCAGTCAGTAATTCAATCCGTCAGTCAGTGAATCAATCAAACAATATAATAATTAGTAATCAGGGGTTATTAAGATTAACCATATTTTAATTGATATATTTACTTTTAGTTTAACTTTTAATTAGTTCTTAGTTTCGGTATTCGTTTCGTTTTACAATTAGAGTCTAATCAAACTCAGGAACTCATATACCTCAGGAAAGAACCTACCTCTTTGTGTTTTTAATCTTGTTTACACTATTTTTATTATTATTATTACGATTATAATTTTTGGTTTGCATGGGACAAACAAACAAAAAAAAGAAATGGACGAGAGGAGAAACACAAAAGATGTTTTGTTGTAATCGAAGATGCTATCAAGGAAAGCTTTAGTTCTTAGTTCGATTATCGGTTAGTTAGTGGCTAGCAATTATGTTTAGTGAGGACTAATTTTAAATGTAAAAGACACAATCACACATGAACACACAATAGCAATAATATGGGAAACCAAAACCAGATCGAACTGCAATAGTAAACTGAACTACCTCAATTAGCCATAGACTGCGCAGTAACGAGATGAGCATGATATAACATAAAGATTTTCCAGTTCCCCACTTTATTTTCTTCTTTTTGTAAAATGGTGACACATTTAGAAGCACTCAGAACCACACACAAAACTATCTTTTTTTATTGAAAAATGGATAAATCCATTACAGACTTTCTTTTTAGACGTTTTCATGTACATAAATATGCGCTAAACACACAGAGCCCACGAAATTCAGATAAAACAAAAACATTTAATGTAAAATTACAAGAATATACCTTTGGCTAAACTCTAATTATACGAAAATATCCAAAACTTTTACTATGTATGTGTAGAGAGCAGATGATTTAGGCGATATATGAACCAGGATTAAGATCATTTGTATACATCAATTTCGGCAAAGCAACTAAATGAGGCAAACCAAACAAAAAACACGAGAAAAACAAACGTAACTCTTTATAATCTAACTATAAACAAAAATACAAAGAAATTATTTAAGGCTACAAAATTTACCCCAAAAAGGAATGAAAAATCCACAAAAAAATTAAAGAAACGATCCCAGTAAATGGTATACTTTTGCTTGAGCCAAGTCCAGTGCAAGAATACTTGTTTTGAGCAAAGCAAAAATTAAAACTAAATTAAATTCAAAGCAAACCCCAAACGGTTATAAAATTAAAAAAAAATGAGATGGAAACATTTTGCTAAACGAAGATAAAAATTTTCTAAAAGAAACTTGCGTAAATAAGCAAACTTTACAAAACAAACATTTTAGGCTTAAATTTTTGGCTAAAGAAAAAAATTTAAATTACATATAACAAATATTAGGCACAAGCAAATCTCTATGTACGTGCATCAATTAAACATAACTATTTATTTAAAAAAGGAAAAAGCAAAAATACTTTTATCTGTAATCAGATTTTAGGCCCAACTTTTCGACAAGCGGCGTAAAATAATTTCTTTGTAAAATATGTTTGCAAACAAAACAAATCGAAAGAAAAATCCCAGAGAGCGTAATTAACTTAATCTAAAGGTAAAAAAACACAAATGTCGCCATTTTGCATTTAGAGCGTACAGTAAAGCACACATAACGTCGACAAATGAAACGTCACGAAATCAAACAATTATTGTACATAAAATAAATCAATCAAGAAGAATTGTGTATTGTATATTCGTAATTTTTCAATAATTTTTAGTTACCCTTACCCTTGAGTTGTATAAATTAAATAATAAGAAAATCCATAAAACAAAAGTGAAACTAAAACAAGATTACAAATATAATAATGGTAACGATACAAATAATAGTGTGCACACGTACAAAACAAAATTTAAGTTCAATTTAATGTGTAAAACTAGTGCACCGAACATTTTGTAAGAGCTCGATGTAATTTTTGTTATATATTTTTGTTAGTAATTGTTTTTCTATTAATATTTAGCGCGAAATGTCAAGATGCAAAATAACACGAAAAATCCCCCCCCAGCAAGCCAATTGTACTTACGATTACTTTTCAATTTTGATATAATTTTGTGACACTTTCAACAGAACCAAGTACCCCTCTATCCCCACTATTATGTTACTTTACCTAAGTTATTTCAAATAACTATAAAATAATAAATGGAGAAAAGCGATAAACTGCATGCACCAACCCCAGATTAATTTTAAGAGCCAAAAGAATGTAATATATATTTTTGTATAATTTGTAACATGTTCTGTTCGATCGCAACAAATTGGCTTGTTTACACATTTTTTCTAATTTGTAACAATTATATGATAAATCTAAATTTATAATATATAAACACGTAAATGCTAAAAACAAAATGCAACTAAATAAATGTTAAACCCCAGAAAAAAAAAAACACAAAACATCTCTAATTGGCAAATTTTATTGGTTAACCAAATTTAACACAAAACAAAATTCTTACCCCTACAGTACTGACCACGTTTTGGACTCGAATTGATTATGCCCCGACCCCACTGCCCCCCAAAAAATATAAATGTAACGAAAATATGTATACTAAAGTTTACGACTATCGAAAGTAATTTAAAAGAAATATAATGTGTTTAGGCCTAAGCGACTTTACAGTTCAGTTCAATGCGAAATTTGAAAATGAATATGAAATGCTTAATGAAATTAGCGATACGGCTATATATATCCCCCCATATATAGAGCATTCCTCACGTCTCCCCCCTCAATGTGTAAATCAAGTTGTTGTAAATTTGTCTATCACGATAAATCGAAGCAAGTACAAATTATATTTAATGTATGTGCGTATTTTAATTGTTTTTTATTTTGTAATCCCTCAGTTTGATTTTTGAATTTAGTTTATTGTGTATAAGGTCACACTTGACGACATACAAAAACTTTTGGAACAATGACGAGTACAAAATTTCAGGTAAAACAAACAAAATTTAGCAGATAAATTAAAATTAATTAAATATATATAGAGAAGAGGTATCGATGAAGAAGAAATCGTACAAATTTTTCGGCATAAAGTATAAAGTTAAAATTTTAAGAATAGCTGTCGGTCTAAAAAAAAAAAGGGACAGTTGGTGTGACTTTTAGAATTGAAGTTTAGTTTCCATACAGTTTCACCCTCATTATTTTCCCTCAGTTTTGGGTTACTTATTTGACACCAGAATGCAACAGAACTTGAGTTACACATGAAAATTTACCACGAAAAACCATTTCGATTTACTTTGTTCTGAACTGAAAAGTTTTCGAATCACCCAAACGAAATTTTAACCATTTAAATTCAAAGAAGACAACGGTCCACTTGAGAAAGAAGTTCGGTATGAAAAGTACTTTACGAGAATAAGGTTAAACAAAAATAAATAGTTTTAAAAAAACGCAAATCCGTTTGGAGCAAACTCAGGGCATTATCAAGACTCACGACGATGTATACATGCATTTAATACAAAAAAAAACTTTTTTCGATATGTATTACGATTAAATAAAAATATAAAAAAAAAACGCATCCGAAAAAACGGATGTAATAATCATGCGAAACGATTATGAACAACTCAGGTATTAAATATTAAATGAAATATTTTTAAAAACTTATAACGAAATGAGAAAGGCAGTAAAAGTCAGCATTTTCACAAGTTGTGCAATATTCTTAAAGTTTTCTAAATACGTAATAGTATTAATAATCTAATAAAGCGATCATGGAAAGCGAAAGCGCAGGATCAGTGAGTTGAGATGTTCATAAGCATGGATCCGAAAGGAATGAGATTTAGGATTTGGAGATCGAGAATTGAGGATTGAGAGATTGAGAGGTTAGGTGAGTTTTTGAAGCACATGAGGACTAAGCATGTACTTACCACTCCTTAAATACTTTTTATTTTTACCACCCACACAAAATCAAGAACCACAAGAACAACAAACTACAACAAACACACTTACAGAGAACACACACACATACTCAACGCGAAATGCGAAAATAGTGAAATAAATAGCTAAATGAAAATGAGTTTATATAAAGAAGGAAAACATAAAACTGTGATTACATTTGATTGTCGAAGCGTTGATAAGCAAATGTTGCATAATTATTGAGCGAAAGAAAAAAGACGAGAAATACGAAATACGATTGAAAATGGAGTTATGTACTATTATTATCTGAAACCGCTTTTGATTTCGAATATTGGCACAATGTCTAAGAATGCGACAGAGCATAAGTAAATAAATATTTAATTAGCCGAAATATTAAACTTCAAAAGAACAACTAAGAAATACAAATTATAATTATCTAAGTTATTCGAGAATAGTGAAACCTGCCCTTATTTTACAAAACACCTGTAACAGTTTACAAGACCTTCGATTTAGTTCACATTTCTCTGAACGATTTCTGTATGTAGTGCACCTTAGTTAAAAATTAAAGTCTGAGATTTTACATTTATTGTATATGATCGAAGTATACACCTAAAAACGTATTTGAATCGGGAATCTAAAACCAAAAAGCGATTAATTAAGTTTATTGAACTACTTACTAAACGAAGCAAAAACCCACACGCT